TGCGCCGCCCCATGGCGCTTCTCAAATCCCTTTCCCCTCTCCCCACTGGCTTTGTGGCGCGGCCGCGCGGACACGTCCGCGGGGCCACGGCCTAGGCCGCGGATGGCCGCCGCCGACGGGGATTTATAGTGCATCACACATTTTAAAGGTCCAGCATCAGACGTAACATAAAGGCGATTGAAAACTCGCAGCACAGGCGCCTGCAAGTATTATTCGTTGTTAACGATCATTTCCGCATTGTATTAGATTGCAGCTGCATTTCGCGCTCGCGCACCCATGGCAGACCCGGTGTCGACCTCTTTTAGCGAAAAGGAATTGGCATCGGGAATCGCAAAAACGACGACGACGAGTGCACATCAGATGTATTTGCAACCCTTGTAGCGACACGTCAAGGCGTCGTGCACCCCTTTTAACGATATGCACCCTTTTTAGCAGAAATAGCAAAAGGCTAAAAGCGGAAGTCGGAAGACGTGAGGAGGCGTTGTAAGGCAGTTATAAATTCCCTAGAGCAAACCTGGAGACTACATCACACACACATTCAACAAAATGTGTATTCATGAACTACCAATCAATTCGTACATACTCTCACGCAACGCATCGTCGGAAAAGGTGAGGAGGCGCTTTAAACCACCGCTCCGTCCGACAGCATCACATAGTCCCCCCCCCGGTGAGTTCCGGCGGGCTCTTAGGGAGGGCGACGACCAGAGGCCGAAATGGCGGGCCCAGTCTCGCAATTTGATAGCGGCAACTTTGGCGATTTTTCACGCTTAGAACAATTCACAAAAAATTCTAAAAATTCGGGGGTTCATAGATTTGCTCGTGATCCTTCCAGGGAAAATATCAAGAATATTAAAAAAAAAGAATTAGACCTCCAATTAACCGTCGCGCCGATTTGGGGCCCGTTCGAGTTCTGCTACAATGCCATTTGCGGGCCAACAGGGAAAGTTGTACAACTTCAGCAGTTTTTCGCGCTCCGAAGAATGCGTCACAGACCCCCAAAATTGAAGGGTGAGTATATTTCCTCGTGATCTTTTCATTGATTTTTTTTTTTAATTGATAATCATTCGGACCACGAAGTAAACCGTGGACACGATTCGACATATTTTTAATTCTGCCCTGCTGGTGGTTCTCCAATCTGTACCACGGGCAACCCTAATGAACCCGTGCTACCGTTTTCTTGACGTCGGACGGAGTGGTGGTTTAAGTGGGGTAGAAATGAATGCCAACAAAGATGGAGGAGCCAATTTCACTATTGGCAAGACATGACACAAAAAACAATCTTTTTCACGATGTATCATTTTCTTTCGATAAGACAGAAGGTAATCATTGCGGAAGAATATCATTTTTTGCGAACTTGCATAAATGATCTGTCTTCCGGTGACAATGCAGAAGGTAACAAGTTTGGGAAATCATCCATTTCGGCAAATGTCGCATATCGATCCTTGAGCGACAAACAAGGTTGAAGCACAGGGGTCAAGCAGACACACATTCTGGCGATAACACAGTCGATGATCATTTCTGGTGAATTTGCAGCTGTGAACAAATTTCAGGTGACAACACAAAAGGTAATCATTCTGGAAAATTTGTAGATATGAACGGTCTTATCACAAATGTATGGCTTCTCAATTAGAAATATGTTCGCATTTGTCGTACGGAAGCAACAGTAAGCATTCAGTAGAGACTACGACATGTATTATGGCGATAACAAAGTTGGTGATCATTTACTGCACCACTAAATTTTGTGGAGTCGATAAAACAAAGTCAAGCACACATACAATCTGGCGATAATTGATTTCTGAATTGCGCAGAAGTTCGCAATTATCACATGGAAGCAAGAGTCAGCATTCACTGGAGACACGAAGGAGGGTGCTTGCAGGGAGGAGGGCACAGAAGAGGTGGTGAACCGAAAAAATGAGGCGGTACGCGGAGAAGGGGGGTTGGGGTTGGGGGGGGGGGGAGGAAGGGGGGTCTTTTAAACGGTAAAGTCTCATGTAATAAAGAGACAAGCAAGAAACAATTTGGCGACCAAGAAGTAATCTTTGATATTTTTCACCAACATCTTGGTAAATGAACTATGAGACAAGCACGAAACAATTTGGTGACCAGAAATCACTGATGTCTTTCACCAACATCTTCTAAATGAAGCAGAGTATCTAGTCCTACCGAGCATGAGTGTAAAGAGTGTCCACAAGAGGACAAAGATTTTCCATGAGTAACACATGAGCACAACCTGGAAACGAATGAAGGCAGCACGATACTGCCCCGATCTTACAGGAAACAATGAGAATAACCCGAAAACAAACAAAGGCAGCTTAAAGGTGGGATATTCACATCCGACATCTAAGCGTCCACTTAAAAGATACTGCACCACGTGGCAGGAAATAAGGAGAAGAACCTGAAAACAAACGAAGGCAGCACGACGTTCGCGGGGTCCTAAAAAATAGGGTGCACGAGGCCACGCCATTTGCATCGGAAAAACTAAAAAACCAAGAAAGTCAAAGAAAGTCCTACGTGTAAAGTTGTCAGGTTTGTCGAAATGAAGAACCCTAAAAAATACTGCAGCACGAGGCTGGGATATTCACGTCAACATCTAAGCGTGCACTTGATAGACGCGTCCACTGCAATCCTCAACCTCATCAAAACACCACCACAACTCGAGCCACCCGGCGGTCAGACTAAGTGGGAATAGATTCACACTTTTGTTTATGGCCTTGCGAATAAAAAACGTTGCACATTTTCAAAACAGGGATATTATTATGAGCCTTGGATTATGTCCACTGCCATCCTTAGCCTAATGTTCGGAATGTCGCTTTGGCCTATCGGAAATGGAGATGAATGACCGCGTGCCAGGAAGAAAACGAAGGCGAGCATGAAAACACCGCAGCTCGACCTGTCCGACTGTTGAGGGACACCATGAACAAACCTTGGGCTCCGACAAATCCAGTTTCGTGTGTTGACCAAATTGACAAACTGTTGCGTCGCAGAGGTATTTCGTGAAGTTCGCAAGCACACCGGAAGAAAAACCGTCATTGTCTTGCAGGAGGGAGTCGTAGTACTCCAGCCCTCCTTCGCGAACGCATAATAGGTTTCAGTGCAGTCGATTTTTATGAACAGGAATGATTAGCATATCGTACGCAAAAATGTTAATATATTTTGTCCATCTCGCAACCCTGTCATATCGACATCCCTCATCGACGAGCTTGGTATAGATAAACGGACTGAAAATATAAACAGAGGGACACCCCGGCAACGTAGCATTGCCAACCAAGGCCAAGTAGGACTCCACCACCTCGTCCCAAAGCCACCCCCCCTGAATAAGAGTCTGAAGATTTTTTCTGCTCAACACAATACAACTGCTCCCTTTGCGAATCGAGGACAGCACCTCGTGGTCGTTGCTGAAATCCCCGCAGACCTCCTGCAACATTCTCAAGTCTGCACCGCTAAGCTCCTCAGTAGGCAACGACACGCGAAAAGATGATGTAGCCGCAGCTGCACAAACACCCAAGAACAAGTGTGAGGAGCCTCCAAAACCACCGGGGCGAACTGGTCAAGAACTGTGTGCCATATTTTTAGAAAATTTGTAACCCCGACTGTTGATTGTGTCTTTGGCGATGTACTTAGGACATGGGTCTTTGACGGTACCCCGTCTGACATCATCATCACACCCGTCAGACAAAGCATTAATGCTTTTGATAGACGCAGTCACATGTTTCCGCAAAGCTTCCTCCTTATCTATTCCACAAGCCTTCACAACCCTGACAGCTCTCTCGGAAAGGCGAGGCATCTGGACCCTTTTAAACAACCCTACAGTTGACGAGGACTTCTTCGGTAAAGCGGCAAATGACCTCCCTGAAAACGATTTTTTGCACATGGCTTGCGAAGGCTTTATGGGCAGGGACATTGACAACCTCACACCTGTAGAACATAGAAAACAACCCACAACCCACAAGCTTTTGTTTAAGTAGTGGATGAGCCCATCAATTCAATGTGGATGACCACAGCGTTGAACATTGACATATGCGCGAGTGCTACTGTTCACAAATCTTACCGTGCCCGGGAGTCCATCGAGGGGAACCGGCCTTCTGTCGCTCCACTGTGCCGACGTCCGTGGAGGATTCGATGTTCTGCATCTCGTCCACCACTGAGTCGCTTACCAGCTCGATGGCAGCTTAATCGCTAACCAGCTCGATGGCAGCTGAATCGCTAACCAACTCCGTGGCTTCATGAAGCACCATTTCCCGACCGAAACTGAGGGCGGACGCTCGATCACCTTGCTCTTCACCGCAGCTGGTGGACTGAGAATCACGATCTGTCCGCTCCGAACCCATCTGACAAGCCGACACCTCACCGTCATGAAGCCCAACCGACACCTCACCAGCATAAAGTTGAGCTCCCCCCACGGTATCTTCGCCTGCCTCATCGTCATGAAGCCGAGCTGACACCTCACCGCCAAAAAGCTTAGCCTCCCCCACGGGTTCTTCGCCTTCCTCATCGTCATGAAGCCAATTTCCACCACGGGTTCTTCTTCGCCCTCCTCTTCGCCACGAAGACGAGCTTCCCCAAACGTTTCATGACCTCCCTTAACGTCACCCTCTTGCGTCGTCAGTGGCGACCCGCTGTGCAAAACCAAATCGGCGTCCCCGATGTTGATGGCATTTCCAGACAAGCCTTCGAGAAGCTACAGCATGCGTCTCCTCCAAAGCATGACCTTCGCACTCGCTAGCCTCTGTCTCCAACACTCCTACAGTGGGCCCCTGAACAGATGTCGCCGCCCGCTGTAAACGTTCACCCTCTTCCAAGAGGTGCAGGAGCAAGGTGTCGTCCTGAACAGGACAAGTGTGCTGCGCACTGCGGCGAGGACTGTCCTCAACGTCATGAAACGAAGTCCTCGCAGACAATTACGAATCTACTCGCACTCCTTGGAATCTCGACTCCCTTTGCAGTGGCTTTCACGTCCGCCCGTCCCAACTTCCCGCTGCACAGCATGCGCTTCCTGTGAGAGGTCCTATTCCCCCAAAGTTGCTGCACTCTTGCTCTCAACATCGACGGACTCGCCCTCCTAAGCATGACATTGATGCTCGCTAGCATCGGCCTTGGCCGCCTCACGAAGTGAGAGCTCCCCTTTTCCTCGAGGTGGTGCACTCTTCCTCTCTAAGTCGACGGACGCACCCTCCGAAGGATGACGTAGATGTCCGCTAGCCCCGGTCTCCAACACTCCTGCGTCGAGATCATTCGGCACTCTGCTAGGCGGCCAGTGTTGTGTTTCCTCTTCCCGGTGCACAGCATGTGCATCCTGTGACAACTCCTCTTTCCCCGGATCCGCTGCACTCTTGCTCAGGAAATCGATGGAAGCACCCTCCGAAGTGTAACGATCATACTCGCCAGGCCTGGTCTCCAACACTCCTGCAGCGGGCCCCTCCAGCACTTTGCGCTCGCCGGCGTCGTGAAACAAAGTCCTCGCAGACAAGTGCAAATGTACTCGCACTCGATAAGACCTCAGGGCCGCCTTGTCTCGCATGCCCGAGTCTCGACTCCCTTCACAGCGGCTTCCGGTTCCGCTAGACTCGTGACTCCCGAACGCTCTACGCTTTCCGCTCGGCCCCTTTCCGCTCGGCCCCTTTCCGCCCGGCCCCTTTCCGCCGGACCCCTTTCCGCCCGACCCTTTTTCGCCGGACCGTTTTCTGCCGGAGTCCTCTGGTTCCGACGACGTTTCGCCTGGCCCCTTCCCCTTTGCTTCGTCACCACCAGATCCTGAGCCGTCTCCTCCGTCACCTCCTCCACCGGGTCCTACGCCGTCTCCTCCATCACCTCGTCCACCTCCTCCTGGATGCTGACCACCCGATGGAGGTTGCGGTGTCGGTGCGAATACCCTTACAAAGGTATCCGCCCTGGTTTTTGCAAGCGACATAAAATAAGTTTAAAAGTTTGAATGTACTGCGCGAGTCGCGGCAGTGTTCGTTGTTTATACGGCTGATGATTGACTAAGAGTAGAGAGTGTGTGGGCGCGCTGATTTGAGGCGCGCTGTCGCACTTTTTCCTAGTCGGGCCTCTCAGGGCGACCGGAAAGGCAACAGGCTGTCACGCAGGATTTTGAATGTCATTGCAATAAATAAATTGATTAAATAATGCAAATCCCTTCCTGTTGTGTGCGTCCGGCTTCGAGCGAGACCCTTCAATTGCGGTCTTCGCCGGTCTCCGATCTTAGGAATCTTTTATTTTGATTCGGAATAGCATAGAATTATGCAAATAATAATCATAAAATTATGGGGTGCTATGCATGCATCAATTATGTCAATCTGATTTTGAGAACTGTGACAAAGCATCCACAAGGGCAATCAGGGTTGTCAGGCGGGGGCCCCCGGGGGCAAAGCCGGGGTAGGGGTTCGACCCCCGGACCCCCGCCGCCGGGGTGACCC